GATTTAAAACAGTTCCATTGTCTAATGTCTTTCATTTGGCATAGTGCCCATGTTTTACTTTGAAGCTTTATGGATGGGAATTGCGTATGGAATCATAAAGATTCGTCCTTCTCTCTGATCTCCCTGGCCAACACACCCTCTGTCAGCAAGGGAAGTGCCAGGTTGTAAAGAACAATAGTATCAGGGGACACAACTATGGATGTTCAAGGAGGAAATCCAGACACCTACCAGGACCAGTCGGGGCCAATGCCTTTCCCTCAGGAGGCACAGACCAATCTGCAGAATTTCCTACGGGGGAGCCAGTCGTTCTGGGGTGGTTCGTGTTCCCCTAAATTAGCTGTAGGTCAAAGTTACAGGAAGACCTAAGACAAGAGTGTGGAGTGATCACAATCATTCCCGTATCCAGAGGACAATGGGGGTGTCATCAATAAGAGGCTGCATCTACCCTTTAGTCCAGTCTCCAAAATGTCCTGGATTTGAGAGCTCTGAATTTAAAATTTAGACGCTTACACAAAAATTTCTCCAAATTATAGGAGCTCCTTCAAACAGGAGGCAATTAATTTGCAGAGAGTAAAGTTTATTTCTCCTAACTCAGAGGCACTTTCTCATTTGCTGGTTGAGCCAAATCATGATTGGCTTGATGATCATTTGCATGTGCATTATGGCCAAAGCCTCCTTTTCTGTGTTCTGTCTCTATGCCTGCAATTGAAAATTCCTCCATTTTCCTTGGGGAACCAATCTTTGTAATCACTTCGATTTTTCTAGCAGTTAGACTATGTACATATTCTTAATATCTGTTTCATGTGTTGTTGTTTTTGAGCACAGAATTTGGGGAAGCCTATTGAGAATTAAGAACCATTCAATGCTAGGAGAGAAGACTACAGATGATATATTCATAGACTGACTCACTTCACTCTATTCTTATATGAAGTTAATTATATCTAGAACTCTGTCTATTATGTCGGGAAAGAAAATTACAAAAAGAAAAAAGAAAAAAAGATGACTAGTTCCTCTATGGTTTTGGAAAATTAAGAGTCACAGAATAGGTCAATCTATGTTTCCAAAAAGACCAAGCTGTCTCAACTTCTCAGGTGTCTCTTTGCACTGAGTTGAGGTTCCAGAATGATTCTTTCCCCCCAAACTCCCTAGAATTCTTTTCTTCCTTATACAGGAAAAATTCCATAGTGGAGGATAGCAAATTCTTCCATAACTTTTCATAATTTCAACTCACGGTGCTTAGTTCTATTTTAAATGTAGGGCACACATGTGTAATCATTTGTCAGTTTAAAGAATGTGAAATAAGAACGTGCTTTCAGAATCTCTTTCAGATATATGTCAGCCTAGGATGAACACTGTGAATGCCATATTAACAGGAGTATGGCTCATAGTCTTTGCTGCCAGTTTGGGCAGATTCATTTATGACATGCAAAACATATTAGATGATTTGCTCATTGTTATAAGGATTTCCTGGTCCAGTGAAATAATTTCCTGGTATTTTTCCACATACACAAAATGACTTCCAGAATGTATTTTCAATGCAGGTGGCAGAAATGCACAGATTATCACTGAAAGGCCACTTGAAGTAAGAAAATCAGGGCCTTGACCCTGAATGAATAAATTTCTCTGTGCTCTAAGTTATTGGTCATGCGAAGGCATGCGTACCAGGTAAGGCTAACTAAAACCTTTTTTTAGGCGAGAGCAGAATGAATGTCAATGAATTCATTCAGTGAATTTGATGCCTGTCCCTGGAAGGTAAACAATGAAAAGTCTAGATGTTTTGTTCCTTTCAGAACGATGATAGACAAAGCCCACGATTCTCTCTACAGACATCACATGGAGCCTATGCTGCCCTGATACACTGAGGACATAGTCAAGATTACTATGAAGTTCAAAAGGGTTGTTAAGATACTCCAAATTACATAAGCTTCAATAAAGCAATCTTTGCAAATCAACAGGCTTTCTTTCATGTTAGTGATGTCAGGAAAAACACAGATAACAGAAGCTTATGTCACTGTGTGAATGTAACTACAAATTTGAGTGTCTGTATGATATAGTGGTTAATTATGCTGCATAGTCACTTATGTTTGCTCTGTAGAGGAGTCAGGGTGGGACATTTTATCACTGATGAGAGTAGGTCAGTCATTTATGAATGAGAGCAAGCACGGTCAATGGCAAAACTCATTTTGCTCAATCCTGTAAACTTTTTCTTCTTTTTAATGTTTTTTTTAAATTTATTTATTTTGAAAGACAGAGCACGAGCAGGGGAGGGGTGGGGAGAGAGGGAGAGAGAAAGAATCCCAAGCAGGCTCCACGCCATCAGCACAGAGCCCAATGAGGGGCTCACACTCGTGAACTGTGAGATCATGACCTGAGCCGAAATCAAGAGTTGGACACTCAGCCGACTGAGCAACCCAGGTGCCCCCCGTAACCTTTTTCTATACAGGATTTTAATTGGCAGGGGATTATTATTCTAAGGCTCATCCCCTTTGTGCTTGAACTTGCCATCTGGGGGCCTCTGCATCTAGTTACCAGGGCTGTCGCTATGATGTGATCTCAGTGAAGGTCTGTGGTCCAGAGACTTGGAATGTTTTCTGGGACATTCTCTGCCATTTTTATATTTACCTCATTGTTGTTAGCCATATAAAGCATATTAAAGTCCTGAGCCCCCGTGTCGTGTTACACATCTGTGTGAGAAGCCCCTCGTGTTCAGTTTTGCCCCTAGGATCCACGTGCATAAGATTAGACTGGGTACACATTGAGGAGGTGTCTAGGTAGGTGTAGGTGTTTGTATCAGAACAAGACAAAAGTAACCCTAAGAAGGATCCACAGGACATTGGGAGACCTAAGGCCACAGGCAAAAGACATACCATATGCTCCTCTGTTGTATGTCTTGATTTCTCCACAGATGGCAGTTGACTTGTCCTCCAGTGAGCATGGACCCTCTATAACATCTCCATATCATGATTATGATGATGTGGCTTCCCAACCCACTTAAGTTGTTTCATTTATCTCTTCAATGAGCAAGTCTTGGATTTGTTCTAGTTTGTGTTCTTGAAAATATATCCACGTCTCCATAGCAAAGAGGGCCTAAAGTGTCCTCAGAAATATGGGGGTCACAGGTTTGTTAAAGCTGACTTTGTTACAGTCGCCTGCTCTTTCCATCAGTGGATGACCATTGAACATAAAAAATTAAGTATACAATGCTTATGCCATCAGGACTGTCATGATGTCAGAGCCTTCTTATCAAGAAGAAAGAGACTGTTGGAAATCTGTTGGAGATTTAAGACACTGGTCTGCTCCTGCAGAGCATGTCTCAGGACCACTGATCCGTACAATTTCTGGAAAGTCATTCACTTCAGACCACACTGTGAATGCTATTTGGAATTATGCAATAGGCCATCTGTGCCAGAGTGTGATTTTTCTGATGCTTTCTCCACAGAATATAAATAGCAATGAACTATAAATAATTAAAAATAAACCCTGTCCTTAACATCTTACCTTGTAGTAGGCTCCCCAGTTTCCTGGGTCTTTGGACTTGGACCCAAATTATACATTGGCTCTCTGGGCTCCAATTGGCCGATTGTGGAACTTCTCAGCTTCCATAATCACCCATGCCAAGTCTTTATAGTAAATGTCATTGCCATATCAGTGCATCCTATTGGTTCTGCTTCTCTAGAGAACCTCGATTAATACAAATAGATCTGTATCATGAAAAGAAACTGAATTCGTAATTGAAAGGCTTGTCACACAGAGAAGACGGGGGAGATGGCTTTGCTCCTGAATTCTATCAAATGTTCAATGAAGAAATAATACCAATATTACACAAATCCTTTCTGAAAATAGAAGAGGAAGAAAACCTATAGAGCTTTTTAAAAAATGTTTATTTTTCAGAGGGAGAGAGAGCACACAAGTGGGGGAGTGGCAGAGAGGGGTGGGGGGGATAGAGTATCTGAAACAGATTCTGTGCTGACAGCCCGACGTAGGGCTTGAACCCACAGACCATGAGATCGTGACCTTAGCCGAAGGCAGGCACTTTAGAGGTTATTTTTGAGGCAAGCAGTAACCAGCTCTCCCACCCCCCCAAAGGATTTAAAATATCATAGGAAAATAAAATATGGATATATTTACATGAGCTTAGACCCATATATCCCTACCAATATTAATAAATTAATCCCAGAAATATGTATAAAAAAAGATACTTCATAACCAAACTGGTTTATGCCAGGTGCATAAGATAGTTTTACACCTTTGAATACAGCATAAAGGAGAGAAACCATATGGTCATTACAATAGGTGGGAAAAAAAGCTGTTGAAAGAGGTCAAACTCCTTTCATAATAGAGCTTTTCAGCAAATTAAGAATATATTGAAAAATCTTCAGGTTAAGAAAAGGCAGAGCAGGGCTCACTTCAGCAGCACAGGTACTAAAATTGAAACCATTTACAGAAGATTAGCATGACCACTGCACAAGAATGGCATGCAAATTCACGAAGAAAAGGCAGAGCATTCCTTTTGATGGATTCAAAACAAAAGCTAACAAGAACAGTGACACTTAACTCTTTTATCAGCTGTTGCCAGACCCAAGGATAGGAAAAGAGCATCTTTTCTTCCCCTTAGAAGCTTTACCTCAAATGCTTATGCCTTGCAGGAATCGGGGTGGTGGTGAGGAACAGTGAGATTCTCCATCATTCATGATGGGAACCCATGGGCAAGTCCCATGTAAGAACCCAGAGAAACCATAGAGTCGAAAGGATGCCATATTTCTTCTTTCTTTCTAAGTTAAAGGATAATTTAGCCAAGGCTATAGAATATGCAAAGTCTCCCTTATATTTTTGGATAATATAATTCCAGAGATATGGGCAAATAGCACATTACTCCCATCTTTGGGTTTCCTGGCTTAGGTTCTATAAATATTGTGTGCTATTTTCCTATAATGATTGTCAGGCGGTAGAAATGGGAGTAAGAAAGCTAAAGTCACTATAGAAGAACTATCATTGTTAACCAAACATACAAAGTATAATCTGGAAGCAAAGAGGGTAAAAATCCCATATTTATGGAAAAATCTCACATTTTTTTATCCAAGGTGAGGACTTCTATGGACAAATTAAGATTTAATTGTAAATCAAAATATCGTCCCAAACAGAGAGCACATGCTTCTTTCGAAAGGTCTTTGGGAGGGGGTGGGTAAATACGGATTGAGATTTGCCCTCACAATGAGAAAAGAGTGTGCAAAGCTTTGGCACTCAAAACTGTGGCTATCTGAACAGCAGAGATAAAGGATTATCTCTGTCAACATGATGCAATTTACCCCATCAGAGAAACCCATCTGCAAGAAATACAGCACAGAAAGACGCCTTTTAGGGTGAGGCTTCATTATCTCTTCATACAACAGGGAGTTATGTCTTGTTGAGGAAAACCTATGTATACCAAATTCCCACAGCCTATAGTAGTGCCTGATAGGAACACAGATCATATACTGCTTGATGCTCTGGGGAACTTCCTTGGAAAGACTCTGAGACTGACTCTTTGGACTGATGTTTCCAGGTCCTGTAAGGATATCTAGTTAAGACGCAATGCAGTTTGGGGACAGAGGTATGTATTTTTCTTTTATTCTTATTTTAGTGGCTATTCCATCGGCCTGTGAGGGGGCACTAGTTATCTGAGAAGGACATAAATGTCTAAGGGGATTTTTTTCCCATAAAAAAAAAATGCTTGACTTTCTAGTAGCAAACTTAATGGTACAATTTTATTTTTAATTTTTTTAATGTTTATTTTTGAGAGAGAGAGCACAAGGGCATGTGAGGGGGAGGGGCAGAGAGAGAGGGGACAAAGGATCCAAAGCAGGTTCTGTGCTGAGAGCACAGAGCCTGATGTGGGAATCGAACTCACAAACCATGAGATCGTGACCTTGAGCTGAAGTCAGACACTTAACCGACTGAGGCACCTGGGGGTTCCTTAATGTTACAATTTTAAAGACCCATAGAACCTTTTCAGATTGTGCTTTGAAATTATCTCAGCCATGTAATCATTTTCAAAAGAGAGAAAACAAGTGGTCTAAAAATCATATTCTATCTAGAATTTGCAACACAGACTACTTTTCCAGTGTTCCCCAAGTCTAGCTAGCTAGTTCTTTTCATGCTGCATTATCCAATTTTTTTGAAACAAATGATTACTTTTGATATTTTTTGTGAATAAAAGAACTTTGATCCAAAAAGGAGATATTCTTGATCTGGAATGATCTTATAATCTTTACTCTTGCTGAGAAGAAGTATATGGCATTGAGTGGGCACTCAGTTCTAAAGACTGCTTTGTAAATCAGGAATCATTGAAAAAATATTTTTAAAAATGTTGACTTCACCATCATGAACAGTGAGTCACAGTCTGTTTAGAGAAACATGATATTTTTGCTTCAGATATGATTAATAATAAGGAACAGGATTAAAGCTTTTGTAAAAAGCAAATTAGTGAAGACAGTATCATACTATTTATAATGTTACAAGATGTAAGAAAAAATACACATTTATTTCCATACCTAACATAGATACTCTGTTGGTAATAACAACAGAGATGATCAGTGTGAGAAGACGGTGTTCATTGAACACCCATTGAAACAAGGGTAGGAATAAAGTCAGAATATCATGGAACAATTCTATATAAAAGATTATTGGTCTGCATTAAACACAAATACTTCTATTTCCACTTGGATCCTTAGGCAGATCTAATGCCTAAATACTAGTTTTCTTTGTGCATGGCTTTTCCCCATCCATTTTCCATTTGAAAGGAATTATTCAGGATGCCCCCCCAATAGTAGAAAATCTCCCCAAACTCAACTGTTTAAAACCTAGTATTGAATGGAAGCCTTACCAATAACATAAACAGTCAATTAACAAATATATTTTATGTTACATGTACTATGTACTACATTCTTACAGTAAAGTAAACTAAGGGAAATGTTACTAAGAAAATCATAAGGAATAGAAAATACACTTACAGTACTGTACTGCAAAAATCCATATTTAAGTGGACCTGTGTGGCTCAAAACTGTGCCATTCAAGAGTCAACTTTATAGTGTTGTTTCCCCCCCCCCCCCCTTGGTCAATCTCCTAAGAATAAAAGGCATTGATTTCTGTAAAAGAACCATCAGATTTTATAGAACTTAATAAAGATAGGTAGAAGAAATATCGGTTTTATCACTACTGCTTTAATATATTTTCCTGATAAGTTTGAACATACCTGTACACCATGCAGCTAAAACTTTTTATAGTGAATTCTAGAGGTGACATGAAATTGAGGCTGCATGGACCATATACCAAGATTCCCATGATCTCATTTCAAAAAGATCTGTACACAAGACAGAGTATCCATTGCCGTCATGATGAAGATAGCAAAGATGATACTATTTTTTTGTTTATACTCAGGATGGTCCCTGTGTTCAAATAAAGAAAGATTTCTTGGTGTCAGAGAAGGAAAGCCTTCTGAACGTGAGCATTTTTGTTTAGCATTTCTGTAAGCAGATCACGAGTGGAAAAGCGAGGATTTGGGCTTAGGCAGACACGGCTCCAAGCCACCTAGCTGGCTATGCCAGTGCGGAGCCATATGGTCCCTTCCGGACTTTCTGTGAGTTGTGCCTAGTTTGTATGGTGACTTAGAGGTAGGAAGAGGAAGCAAACTCGGAGTCTAAGAACACGCATGCTGCATTGTGGCTTCTTGAGTCAAATGCCGTTTGTTCTCAAACTTCAGAAAGAACTTCCTGAACCCAGAGACCAAGCAATAATAGCTCTGTCAGATACTACCTAGGAACAGAGGTGTAAATGAAAGAATTCTGCACAGCAAAATAAGGAATCAAAGTAACAAATATTGTCTCTCCATGGGGCGGGAATACCAGGACTAGTGGGTGATATGTATTTTCAGCTTCAGGGCTGAGATGGCCAACATTGTTTCAAGACAGAAGACCTATAAGACACATGCACCCAAGCTAAGATTCTCAGCTTCCTATAATGTAAGCGTACGTTACTTACACAGCCTTCCTGAAACTCAATATAATAGAGAGTATGTCAATCTGAACCGCCTGAGGTACATCGTTAAATACTTAATAAGTGTCAGATTTCCCACCCTTGAGAAGTGAAAAAATTACAAGTGTCCTAATTTCTTACATTTAGCACCGTACCTGTCTTTTACTTTAAAATATTTATGTGCATTAACTATCGAATGGAATCAAAGAGACTAATCCTTTTACCTGATCTTTCTGGCCAACACATGCTTCACTTGTGTTGTGACTCAACACCCCCAGCGGGGTGAGCAACAGGGTTGTGAAGAACAACGGTACCAAGGGACACAACTATGGATCTTCAACGAAGAGATCCAGCCTTCTACCTGGGCCAGTCGGGGCCAATGCCTCTCCCTCAGGAGGCACAGAGCAATCTGCAGAATTTCCTAAAGGGGGAGCCAGTTATTCTTGGGGTAAGTACAATGAAGGTCATCTAAGGATTCTGAGGTGGCTCACATTCTCCTAAATTCGCTCTGGGCCGAAGCCACATGATTACCTAAAAGTGTGGAGTGGTCACAGTGATTCCTATATCGAGAGGACTATGGGACTTTTAAATAAGGGACCACATATACCATTTAGCCAAATCACCAAAGTGTTTTATATTTGGGAACACTGAATGTAAACTTAGGTACTGATCATGGAATCCCCAAATAAAAGTAGTCCTGAGTCATTTACAACCTCCAAATGCGGGGCAAGTAATTCAAAGAGTAAAGCAAATTCCTCCTAACTCGAAGGTACTTTCTCACTTTCTAGGTGAGCCAGATCATGATTGGCCTAATGAATATTTGCCTGTGGATCATGGTAAAGGTCTTTCTTTCATTCCACAAACTACATCTATTCCTAGAGAACACGGTATATAACTTCATTTTCCTTTTGGGACCAATCTTTGTAAGTAAATTGGAATCACTTTGATTTCTGTATTACTTAGAACTTACGTAAAATCCTTAATAGTTATCTATCAGCACAAAATCTAGGAGAAAGTATTGAGAAATATTTGGTGTTAGGAAAAAATACTATAGAATGAGAATACATTCACAGACTAACTCATTGAACTTTATCTTTGTACAGTTAATTATATCTGGAACTATGTCTATTGCGTCTGGAAAGAAAACAACAAAAAAAATGGTGCGTTTACCTACAATTTTAGAAAATTAAAAGAGGCATAGCATAAATCAGCCTTCATTTCCTGGGGTGCCTAGGTAGGCCAGTTGGTTAAGCATCCAACTTCAGCTCAGGTCATGATCTCAGGTTTGTGATTTTGAGCCCTGCATTGGGCTCTGTGCTGACAGCTCAGACAGAGCCTGGAGCCTGCTGCAGGGAGATTCTGTGTCTCCCTCTCTCTCTGCTCCTCCCACTCTCTCTGCCCCTCCCTTTCTCTGCTTATGCTCTCTTTCTCTCATTAATAAATAAACATTTAAAAAATGTTAAATCAACCTTTGTTTCCAGAATGATCAAGCTGTCTCAGATTCCCAGGTTTTTCTTTGCCTTGAGTTAAGATTCCAGAATGATTCCTTCCCTATTCCCCCATAGGTCATGCTGTCTCTGTCTGGCTCAGATGAGAAATTATCCAATAGTGGGTAACAACCCTGGGCATAATTTTGATGAATTCCAATTTTACTTACATTTTAAATATAATGCATACATATGTACAATCATTTGCCAGAGTCAAGAGGGTAAGAACAGGGACTCCGTTTCTGATTCTCTTTCAGATCTGTAGCAGCCTTGGAACGAACACGCTGGCTGCCATATTGGCTGGAGTGTCGCTAATAATCCTTGCAATCAGAACGGAAGTCTCCAGTCACTTCTTATCGGAAACAGTTTTAGCTCGTTATTTCTTAATTGTAAGTATTGAAAGGCCTAGTGGAAAAAATATCTCCTGATATCTATCCACATATATAAAATTCCTTGCAGATGTCATTTTCATCCCAAGGGAGCAAGGGGGCGAGGGGCGTGTGGCACCTGGGTGGCTCAGTCAGTGAAGTGTCTGACTTTGGCTCAGGTCATGATCCTATGGGTCGTGGGTTCCTGTCCCACGTTGGGCTCCTCACTGACAGTGTGTAGCCTGCTTGGAATTCTCTCTCTCTCTCCCTCTGTCTCTGGCCCTCCCCAACTCATGCTCTTTCTCTCAAAATAAATAATAAAACAAGCTTAAGAAAATTTTGAAAACAAAAACAAAAAACACAAGTGGGTAATAGGGCATAGATTAAAACTGACAAATCACCTGAAGAAAGATGGTCAGGGCCTTGACCCTGAGTGAATAAATATCTCTGTACTACACATTATTGGTGATGTTAGGATCTAAGTACATCAGGTGAAGCCAAGTAAAACCCTTACTTTAGATAAAACCAGAATGGGTGCCAATGAATTCAGCCAATGATTGTGATTGCTGTCTTCATCAAGGTAAAGAGGAATCTAGTTGTTGAGTCCATTCAGCACAATGACAGACAAAGTCCAGGATCCTTTCAAGAAAGTACGTTCAACAAAACCGACACTGATCTACTGATCATATGATCAAAATCACTATGAGCTACAAAGGGATCTTAAAACATTCCAATTTGTAGACACCTCAAGAAAGCATGGTTTGCAAATGAGCAGGCTTTTTATCAGTGGGTTATGTCGAGGAAGAAAGTGGATAACGGGATCTCACTTCATCTGTGTGAAAATTATAAAGGAATGAAATTGCAAATTTGGGAGTCTGTAAATTAGTCATTACGGGTATCTCTGCCCAGATTTTATCTGAAGGTGGGGCCAGACTGGGATATTTTCCTACCCTGGGTTATGAAGGAGAGTGTGCAGGGTCCACGGCAGGCCCTCTCTTTCTCAGGCCTTTAATCTTGTCTCTCTGCATGATTTTAATTTGCAGGGGATTATGATTATGAAACTGATCCTCATAATCCTGGGACTCATCGTCTCGGTGTTGCTGTCTGCATTTGGATGCAGTGCTGTCTGCTGTGATGCGACCTCAGTGAGTTTCTGTTATCCCGAGGACTCAGAATGCGTTTTAGGGTATTCTCCACCATTTGTACATTTACCTCTTTAAGTTTTACTGAACCGTTCAAACCGTAAAAAACTCTTAAGCCCCTCTTTCATGTTCGGAGCCCCTCGCACTCTGTTTTGCCACTAACATCAGCCAGCGTTAAGATTGGCCCGACACGGGTGCTGACAGGGCAGAGCTTGCCTGGGATTTTCATTCTCTCTCTCTCTCTCTCTCTCTCAAGATAAATGAATAAACTTAAAAAAAAAAAAAAAAAAAAGAAGAAGAAGAAGATTGGACCGGGCATTAGTGGAAGGTTGCTTGGCTGGACGTAGACGTTCATGTCAAAAAGAGTGGCCCCAAAGAAGGTCTGCACGTTAGGAGAACTAGGACCAGGGGCAAGTGAAATGTCATATCATATCATGAAATGCCATCTACTGTGTTGTTTTTTTTTTCCTCCACAGGTGGTTGTCGACTTATCCTCCAATGACTGTGGAGTTGCCGTAGCCTCTCTTTATCATTATTATGATGACGTGGCTTTCCAACATGCTTAGTTGTTGGAGATACCAACTTTTGAACCATTCCTGGACTTCCTCTAATTGTATCATTAAAAGTAAATCAGTAATCAGGTAGTAAATAGAGTCTTAAGTGTCTGGGTGGGGGGGGGGGGATCCAAGGTCATAGATTTGCTGATGTTGACTCTGCTGGGACCCCCTACTCTATCCTCAATTATGATTCCATTTGGACATGATCAATGAAGTATGTGATCCCTCCGCATCGGCACTGGCATCGTCTCATACCGTTGGCGGTAGGAAGAAAAGGAACACACCAGAAAGGTTGTAGGTATTTGGGGATTCTGGTCTGGCCTTGGAGGATGTGTGCCAGAACAGCTGATCCCCACAATTTCTGAGAAGCCCTTCACTTTGGACTATAATGCTAATGCCATACTGGGAGCTGTGCACTAGGCCAGCTAGGTAGATCATGTGTTCCCTGACACTTTCCCTAAAATGTACAATTTTCTATGACATAAATGAATTAAAATAAACCCTGCTTTTATCCTTTAACCTTGAAGTAGCCATAATTTCCTTTTATTTTCCATTTTGGTGTTCTCTGTCCCATTCCGATTATACATCATGAAGTCAGTGATGGCCTTTTCAATTCAGGGTCCTGTAAAAGCAACCCAATGAGTAAAGTGTGACTGATGTTTGAAAGTAGGGAAATACACACACTTTCTGCACACAGGTTCTGCTTTTTCAGTGATTGAGCCCCTGCAGGTCCTTATGCTCCTTTGCGTCGTGGATCCTGACTCAGCCTGAAGTAACCCACACACTGTGTGGCAAGGGAATAGTGATCATCACATTTCGACTTTTTGGAAAGGCCTGGAACACTATCAGTTTGTAATCTATAGTCAAAAGACACATGTGGCCTCTCTTAATATATGGCTAATCACAATTTAAGGAAGTGCTAGCAGATGGCTTAATGTAATTCTGCCTGTACCGCCTATAATAAGATCAGAAACTGGCAACTCACTGTGTGATTCTGGCTTAGCTGTTGCCACAGTCTGATAGCATTTCATCCACTACAATATATTACTGGCACTTAACACTGTCTTAAACACTAGACTAAGTCTATGGAGACAAACAAAAAAAAAAAAATGTAGAAAAAACATCCAAAGCAAACCTTATCTCTTCTTTTAATGCTTTTTCACAGAAAGGAAAGTCTGCTATGCTCATTTACTAGTTCTAGATTTTTTAAAAGATTCTGTAGGATTTTCTACATAAACAACGATATCTTCAATAGGGACATTTATATTTCTTACTTTCCGAACTTTAGGTCTTTCTTTTCTTGCCATATGACCCTGGCTATGACTTCCAGTAGATGTTGAACAGGAGTGGTGAGCACATATACGCTAGTATTGGGGAATAAGTAGTCAGTATCTCACTGCTGGGTATGTTGTAACTGTAGGTTTTTGTATATGACTTTTTCCAGATAATGGGAATCCACATATTTTCCTAGTTTTTTGAGAGTTTTTTCTTTATCATGAATAAATTTCGTCAGACACGTTTCCTGTATATTGAGAAGATCATGTGGGTTTTTGTATTTATTCTGTTAATATGATGAATTGTACGCATTGATTTTTTTGTTAAACCACTGTTGCCTTCCTGAAATAAACTCTGTTGGCTGTGGTGTGGTATCTTTTGATATACTTTTGGATTTGATGTGATAACATTTTGCTGTGGATTTCTGGACCTAGGTTGAGAGTTATTGCCACATAGTTCTTATATCTTTGTCTTGTTATGGTATTGAAGCAATGTTGACCTCGTAACATAGAAGGGATTACGTCCAACTTTTTTTCCCTTAAATATTTGGTAGAATTAGCGATATATGATGGAGTTGGTTTTGTTATTGTTGTTGTTGTAATGGTTTTTGTCTATACACTCAATTGTTTAATAGATATTAAACTAAGGAAATCATCGATTACTGAGTCAATGTTCATAATTTGTGTCTTTCAAGTAATTATTCCATTTCCTTCAAGATGTCAAATTTACTTCCTAAATTTATTCACAGTACTTCTTTATTATCCTTTGAATATCTCTGGATTCTGCAGTGATGTCCCTTCTTTAATTCCTTACATTGATAATTTTTGTCTTCTCTCTTTTTCCCTTGGTCAAGCTGAAGAAAGTTTAATAATTTTTATTGATTTTTACTGTAATGTTACTGTAATACAGTTATATATTAATACTTTGCTTGGTACACTTGAGCCTGGCCATTGAAATAGATGATAGATAGGTAGATAGATAGATAGATAGATATAGCTAGCTAGATATAAATTTAAGTGTCATTGGAAATATAATTATTTTTTGTTTTTGCTCATGTTTATGTTTATTTTATTTTAGTGAAGTTAGAGTTAATAAGGTGCTAACACAAAGACCAAGAAAAGTTTGTTGAAAATATGAATCTCCTAGAAATTGCTCCAAAGGAAAGAATTTTATTTAGTAAGTTAAAAGAACAAATATAGTCTTTGTCAGATTAATGGAAAGAAATGCGAAGAAAGTGAGTGCAAAAAAAACCTATAAATTGGTATTGAGGATTACGGTGCTAATGCTTGTAAAAAAATTTATTTATTTTTGAGAGAGAGACAGAACACGAGGAGGGGAGGGAAGGAGAGAGAGGGAGACACAGAATCTGAAGCAGGCTCCAGGCTCTGAGCTGTCAGCACAGAGCCCAACATGGGGCTCAAACCCATGAACTGTGAGATCATGACCAGAGCCAAAGTCAGACACTTAATTGACTGGGCCACCAGGCACCCCACGGTGATAATGCTTCTAATTTTGAGCAACAAAACATGATTTATATCGATTTTATTGATGTACATCAAAACTGCTTATCTAGAGTTCTAGGTGTGGAAATATAGCAAATGAGGAAACACAGAGATCTGAGCATAGATTTCTCTCCCCTACATGTTGGCACAGTCTTTGATAGACATACAAGACACATAAGCTTAAGAAGACGACAGGCTCCCACATTTGTGTGGTGGAACAACACTAGGTAGGTAGAACTTTTTTCCCCCCATTATCCAGAGCACCAGAAAGTACTTTTGTCTATGTTCTGAGAGGGAAAGCTGTGGAACCTGACAGAGACTGAACAGAATGTGGGCTCAAGGCAGAGACAGTTTTTCCTTTCTTTCCACTGGTAGATATTCAACATCATATATTTTAGGAAATTTTTAAAGATAATGCAGAAAGTTTCAGTGACGTAGACACATCTGATCTTGTCTACATTCCTGCTTTCTGACTTTCTGATTATGCAAACAACTTTACCCACCAGCGGGTAGATAGTAAGCCTTAGCTTACCAAGGAAGTTTGTCTCCAGCCCTATTTTCTAGAAGACCCAATGTAAGATACAGGGGAATAATTTGGTTAGAATTGTGATGCAGAAACTTTTCTGTCTACGATCTGCAAATGAAATTCAGAACATCAAGAATGGACATGGGTGAGTCAGCTAAGTTCATAATAATATTCTTAGAATCATGAGAGTTTTATAACTAATCTGGTAGAGACACAACGAGGAGGATTAGGTAGGTCTGAAGCTATATTAACTCATAAAGGGTCATTGGGCTTTGAAGTCAATACTTGAGGTGAGGACATCGTGGTAAACAAGGCTAATTTTTGTATTGTTGAGTAACCAAGAAATACTGCAACGTCATTCTCTAAGTAGGCAACAGAGGTGGAGAGCAGCATTCGTTAGAAAGAGGACGGCTGTAAATGTGAAAGTCCTACTCAAAATACTGACCGTTTGGATGGTAGCTTCAAGGAGCACTAACAGGTTCAACTACAGGCTTACAATTTGATATAATATTACAGATGATAATCACATAGCTGCAATAAAATATAATTAAAGGCATTAGTGAATAAAAATGTGCCCGGTATTATGGTCAGCATTTTTAATCTAAAAAATACATACTTGTTGAGTGAATGGATGAATACATAGTGACATTTGCAGTGAGGAGTGATAGGGGATGTTTTGGGGGGTCAATAGTGTGTTTCCCCCCCCAAAAAAGTTACGTTGGGAGCAATGGCTCCCTCAAACACTCAAACCTGTTACGTGTGGGCTTCGGGAGGCTAAAAAAAGGATGTGTTAATTTGAGGCAGGCTTCGCCTAAAGAGCAGATTTTTACTTATCAGACCCATAGCTCTTTGGTCCCACATCTATAAATATGTCTGTGAATTTGGGCAAGTTATTCACCATCTTTAGATATAAGGGTCACATTTTAAAAACATAGAATAACTGATTGATGAGATCCTATTTATGAAATATTGATGAATGAGATTCATCCACCAAAGAAATAGAAAAAAAAAATCTCTCTCGTTTGCACTTCCAGTGTGATCAGACAAGATAAATTCCCTGTTTCAGCTCTTTAATGAAAAGCAACTACTGGGAATAGAAACATCGAATACTTATGATTAATCTTAAGTGTCCCATAGGAGTTCCATGTCATGATATCTTAATCGTTTCATGGATACTGCAAAGAAATTTACACACTCAAAGAGTGTTGGAACTGATATACAATAACTCTTTTTTTTTTTTAAAGACATTGAGCATGGATCTCAAGAGCCAGAAACTATGTTTCCACTTTGATTCAGGAAATCTAAACATAAATAGCTATATAAAGGGTCTAATTCCATATCATTAGCATAACAGGAGGAGAAAACATAAGAAAGAATTGTACAAATTGTAAGCAAAGCTAAACTGAAACCTAATAGGGAGAGTGATAGCATCACAAATACCAACGTAATAAGGAACAAAGTTTGCCCCTATTTCCCCAACTTAATCTAATGGTACAAAATAGTCCTAAAATTGATAGAGTAAATGATGATATAGAAATAAAAAGCGAATATTTGGTAAAAAAAAAAAATGTTCAAAATGAGTTAGTTTATGAAGGAAACCCCTCTTGGGTTTGTTCTACAATGGAAATCCATCATTGTTTTTGACAAGTACCAAAGCACACCCTAACTTCTTGAGAAGATAATACTAGAATTTATGCAACGTTACATCTCTGATGATACTAAGAAAATTGGATACATCATTTCCAGTGTCACACCTATGAAGCATAAGCATGATTATATTTTATGTTGACAAACCTAGGGTTTCAACTAAATACACCTCTCATTGCCACACAGTGATCAAAGTTAAGGTGGCTTTTACATAGTGTATCCCCAGGTCTCTCCTATAATTATGGATACCACTCCTATTCTCTTTCATTCCTAAGATTATCTTGGATTGGATGATAAGTTACATGATATATTTAATTCAATTAAAGGGAAATGTCTTTCATTCAAAACTCTTTGCGTTTAAATCTCAGGTGATTTTTACTCCACCAGGGATAAGGCTAAATAGATATATCACCATTCCCATTGGGGGTTCTTTTATACAAGTCTGTGGCCACATGCAATGTTAAAAAGAAAAAAACATCTTGGAGGCTATCTTACAGTTACATAGGATTTGGTATTTCTCAACCTCTGTCATGTCTCTCCATGCTGACCACATCAGTGATATCAGAGTC